TTGTACCCAAGAGAGATGAAGTGACAGGAGGTTGGAGAAAACTGCATAATGAGGAGCTTCATAGCTTGTACTCTTCTCCAAGTATAATTAGAATGAACAAGTCAAGGAGGATGAGGTGGGCAGGTCATGTAGCACGAATGGGGGAGACTAGGAATGCGTATAGGATATTGGTGGGAAAGCCAGAAGGAAAGACCACAAGGAAGACCAAGGCATAGGTGGGTGGACAATATTAGAATGGATCTTAGAGAGATAGGATGGGACAGTATGGATTGGATAGATCTAGCTTAGGATAGGGACCAGTGGAGGTCTCTTGTGAACACGGTAATGAACCTTCGGGTTCCATAAAATGCTGAGAAATTCTTGAGTAGCTGCAGAATTGGCGGCTCCTCCAGAAGGGCTCAGGTCCATGAGTAACTAAGTAAGACACACATTTGGAAAGACTTGGGGACTGAGGCTGAAAGTATTGCATTGGATATTGACCATGTAAGTTGAGGCCAGTGCTGTCACTGTGTGGTGGCTTACAGTAAAGTTTGAAATGAGAAGAGTTGCAATGGCTGGCATTCTTGGATATTACTGGACCCATGAGGTTGGCTTCTGCAGCTGCAACTGAGGTTTTCCTCAGACTCCCTTGACTGCACTTGGAGCTGGAAACAGAGGCCAGAGCAGGAATCTACAGATTCTACTGCAATGAACCGTGGAAGCATAACTCTGAAGAATATGAGCATGCATACATGTCTTGGGGCATGGAAGAACACCTCCTACAGATGGTGACCGACAAAATGATACCAAGGCATGTGTATGATCAAAGGCGGTGGCAGCAACAGCAGGAGTATCAGTAGTAGTGACAGATCCAGGAACTGTAGGACTAGAAATCTATACAACAGAAAAGTAGGCTTATGTTCTGAACTCCGTGTGCATTACTTACATCAATAATCTTGGCAACAAATGTATAGGAGCCTTCAACATCTGGCCATGCAAGCTGCTTCCAGAATATTTTTATCTGTAACATAAATCCATTTATGACGTCTGTTTTAAAACTGTTAAGATTTCTGAATGAGTGTAATAAAAACTGGAAGAAATGTTTGTTGTGTAAGGCAAGCCAGCGTTTACCACTATAGAATCTAAAGAGAAATTATCACTGTTGAATACCTCAGTAGTTTATTACAGGCAATAAGTAAATATTGTGTGTGTGCCTGTGTTTGTGTACATTAAGTCTTATGACTGTCCATTCCTTATTTTGAGTCAAAATTATGGTACCTGGTAAAAAATTGCAAGGGTATCGACTGCTGATGAACTGTACTTGACACTGCTGTCCACTGGGACAAGGTGATCTATTTCCACAGCCTTCTTTATCCTCTGGAGGGCTTTGTAGAGAGCAATATCTAGCCACTGAGCCACCCCTGCATGGAACCAGAGGTGAAAGTTGTGGCTGAGGAATATTTCTGAATCTACTGGACACAAGCCAGTTCCAAGCCTGCCAGTATTAAAAATCAAGAACAAATGATTTGTAGTACACATATTCTTTATGCAACATGAAACTGAACTATAACAAAGTGGAAGGATGCATGGTTTAAATGTCCAAGTTTTGAGTCCATGTGCATACATGTTTGGGAGGAGGGGTAGTGTTGTGTCAAAGTATTCTGTGAACACATGTGCATATGTGTGTGCATGTACATAGGTTCTACAAATATTATATGTCTGTGATGTTGCTCTTCAATTTTGCATGTTGCACAGTTGTGTACTGTAGTTGAAACATAAGTTAAAACATAACAAGTTTAAACCAACTAAATTATTTGCAAGTAGACTGTTAGGCACTGCTCACTGCCAATGACATGTTTAATATAGACATAATATTTGGAATTCAATCTTGACATGATTTTCAGCTGCCGACTTACTCATGTGTCTTGTCTAGACAAATTTACGAACAAAGTGTCAAACTACTGTTTACTATATTATATTTAAGCATCCTGTTGTGCTGTACACTTCTATATGTAATAATACAAATGCTGTCGTGAATGCAACAATTTATTTGGTTGTAGATCTTTGTCTTTTCTTCCTCTACACAACTGAAAATATACTCAAACATAAACCACAAGTGGATAAATACAATAAATGTAGCATATACCAGATGATATGTGCGGATTGCCCGTTGAAGTACATTGGACAAACGGGCCGAACATTTAACACCAGATATAAGGAACATGTACATGATATTAGAAATAATAATAGCAATTCCAGATACTCAAATCACACGCTAAATACGGGACATTCATATGGAACAATAACAGACATAATGGACGTTTTAACAATGGGAAAGATGGGTAGACATTTGAATACACTAGAGAAATACCATATATACAAAGAAAGTAAGAAAGGCCTACGCATGAATGACACACACACAGAAACAAACAATCCCATATTTCAAACAATATACGAGATCTATACAGACTAATGGTATCCCCCCTCTCCACTACCCCTTCCTTCTCCTACACTCAATAACATAAAAACACAGCACACAACACACCAGACAACAAAAGTATTAAAGATGAGCAGCGACACACACACACACAGGGAGCCTGCAAAGAGTAAGTACACACAACAGTATGAAACATATAAGAATAACGTAGGAACATAGGATAGTAATACAAATATTTGTGTAACAGATAATACATGAACGGTGCTGAAAACAAGAAATAGCCGCTGCAGCACATGTAGACAAGAGCAGGTGTCCCTGGTATTTAAAACTTTAAATTTTAGAAAATTTTAAACTGGAATTCTAAAAATCAAATTGACGAGCGTGTGTTGGTCAGATTTTAAAACAAAACTGACAGGCTGATGTTTTAGATTTTGGACTGTGTGCAGTGTGACAGCTACATAGTGAAAAATACACCTGATGATGGCCAATTATGGCCGAAACATGTAGTGTAGAGGAAGAAAAGACAAAGATCTACAACCAAATAAATTGTTGCATTCATGACGACATTTGTATTATTACATATAAAAGTGTCAAATTTGACAATCTAACTAAAGATTAAAAGTCATTAACATTTAACATATTTTAGGTCTCTCAGTCTCCATTTTTTGTGTACTACGAGTATATGTTAAATATATATCATCAAACATAATGGTCACCAACAACTTTCAGTAAATATAACATAATCATGTTCCCTGATTACTCAAATTGTATAGTTTTCAAGAGTTGCATTATGATCTTCAAAGCCTCAGGTGATATCAGGTCCAAATATAATTACAGTATATGAAATTCACTTACACTGCAAATCGCTGCACAATGAGATACAGCTCGAACAGTGTTGTTCCCATCAATAAACGGTCATTATCATAAATGCCATCTCCAGCTCCATGATTGAATTTCAGTGGCTTCAAAGATTTACATACTTCTGTCACCACTGGTTCAACCAGCTCTGCAACCTATGAAGAAATTTTATCATTTTTTTTCAGCTCTGAATTGATCAAACTGTCATTCAAATTATTTATTTCAATTTACAGAACATAAAATGAAAACTTACTTTGGATTCATATACTTTGTAGAGTGTTTTGGCGTAAGGAAAATTGAAAGATCTGAAAAAGAGAATAACTACTTCAGTTCCTAGCCTAACATATCAGTGGATATCCTATTCCTAATAAAACATTTAATTTAATACCCAGAAATTCTTAAATTACTTTTATGATTTTGTTCACACCATCTGAGGAGTCACATTGACCAGGACAAAATTTGTAATGCTAATAGTTAAAGTTTTCAAGAGATTTTAGTTCAGTTCCCTGTGTACTGACACTGGCGTAACTGCATAATTGTAAAATGGAGTACAAAAGAAAGAGTTCTAGTGATGTAGACTGGTTTTATTTGGTACATTATAGTGTCTAGTAACATGCTTTTCCAGTTATGGCGTTAAAACTTAAGATTGTAGACTGTAATGTCAGTTAGCTAGTCTTCAGGCTTTTGAATTACTCACTGCTGAAATATTTTGTCGTGGAATTCAATTGCTCTTTGCAGATCTGTTCTTACAAGTTGTGTTACTTGTATGAGGTGATTTAAATATGCTTCTTCTGGGGAATCAGTAGTTTTATTATTCTCCAGGATATGAGAAAACCTGTGTACAGAAAAACTGTGATCATGTAACTTCAGTACACATCACAAAAATTCGAAATTCCTGTGTCATAACTTTAATTGCAAATTTTTCCATAGAATAGGCGTTACGCCTTACCAGTCCTCTGCTCCCTGAGTCACAGCGTCATACAAAGTGGCACGAATATCACAGTTTGGTTCATCTTCATTGACTGTTAGCCAGCCGTATATAGAAGGGGGAAACAAGTCTGTACCTTCAGGAGGATGTAGTGTTGACAACTGGGACAAAATACTGAAAAGAGTAATGCGTTGTCTTACTATTTTGCATCTCTCTAAATAAAACTTTGGAGCTCAATTTTCATAAAATACTGAATGCTATAGAAAGATACCTGTGCTGTAGAAACAAATATGTCAGGTAATAATAGAATGTAGAAATTGACCAATAATAGGACTACGAATACTGTACTTCACATGTCCCGTACATTTTTCTTATGTTTCATGTTCTTACCTGAGAATGCCAGAAAGTTGGTGTAGAGTGCTTTTATCACTATGAGTCAGTTTCCGAATTTTCCTGATACCATTAAAACAGGAAGGCAATATCTTCTTCGCAGCTTCCCAGAACAACTTTTCCTGAAATATAAATTTCATGTATAAGGCTTATATGGTCATTAACATTCTTAAAATTAGTAAAGTGCACTTTCTGTTGTTTTCTTCTGCAAAATATTGGTGAGGATAACATTAAAATTTACCTTAAAAGAGTATGATTTAGTGGTTTGAACGTAATTAATTTGGGTCATGACAAAGGCAAATATTGAGCTATTGTGAATAAGGTAATGAATTTCTTGGCCACGTGATGAGTATCAATGTCAAGAAGAATTTTCTCTGTAGAGTTAGTCAGTTGCTTAATTTATATTCCATACTTTTGCTTCAGGACTTTTGGAATCTACCTTCATGTTCTTACCCCTTGCCGTCTTGTGAAACTTCGTCGATATATTAATCACACTTCTGCATCTTCTTCTCTTCTCATTATACAACGCTACATGTTCTCAGCCTAATGGGCCATTATCAGGTGTATAAGATGTTAAGATAGGTTAAAAGAACCTGCTACTCTGTTATCACACTGCTCTGTTTTTCCTTTCAATGTAAAATTCTTTCAAACTATTTTATTTTCGGTTATTTTTAGATTCTATATATCGATGAAGTTGCATAAAGAGAACAAGGAGTAAGAAGATGAAGTTAGGATATGCAGTGCAACAGGATCCTAAAGTATAATATTAGAATTAGAAACAAAAAATATGTGAATGTATGTTATCACTGTTCGAATATATTACTGAGAAGTGACAGCATGTACATGTATCAAAAGTCTGCCAAGGACCATATTTCTGAACTTAGGCACCCAAAATATTCACCATTATCTAATTGTGATATCTGAGAATAAATAGTGGACTACATCTGTACTTTTGATACCTTGAAAGCAATGTACTTAGTGCAGAGCAGAATTACTTTTCTCCTGTATTATTTTGATATTATTGTTTGTAATTCTATCTGTGCCAGATCACCACACCATGGAGATAAAGTTCCACATATTCCTAACCTCACATTCCAGATCAGAAGAAAGAATGCCTTATAGGCATTAAGCACTGAAGAGGCAGCTGGTTATACCATAGAGCTATTTGGGACATGGAGATGAAGAGAATCTCAGTACTGGTGCCAGACACTGAACCGCTAAAACCACTAAGAGCCAAACTATAGTCTAGCATTGTCTTGGCAGCTGTCATGGCTCAGAATTTATTCATCACTCAAAAATTAATGTCATTTACATCATCAGTTCTCCATTCAGTACCTGACTAAAATTAATTTAATTTAGTGAATTCAAATGATTTTTTTGTGAATATCAAAGAAATGAAAAAAGAGATCCAACAAATATCTACAGTTCTTTCAGCTGAACTGATGATACATATATTTCATTATTATTTACAACCATTAATTCCTCAGCTCACAATTTAAGCAGAACACTGCATGGCATGACAACCATACTTAGTGTCAATGAATTTAATATTAAATTGATCTTCAGTGTTTGTTCAGCTACCTCCTCTTCAGTGACAAATCCTTTCTGAAGAGGTTTGACTAGCTTCTGAAGCAGGATTGAGAAAATGATGAAGCTGAGCGGATGGTCCACATGTACACTGGCAAATTCAATCCACTTTGCCAGTGTTACAGCCACTTTGCTCAGTCCGCATTGAACAAGATGTTGTGTCAAGATGATCTCTGCTGACTGAGAGAACTTACCATCCCACTGGTAAGGTTCAACCTAGAACATCAACCAAATAGTCCAGTGATTTATATACATATGTAAGGAGAATAAACCAGGAACATGGGAAAGGATTATATGCCTCAAAAGGAAGGGTTCAGAGATGCAAACAAAATGATACTGAATTTTTCCAATAAATGTATGATTTATACTGAATACTCTGCTTTATTCACCTTTGTCCTCCTCTAACGCATTGCACATCTGACTGTTTTTTCCTCAGAATTGGTTCTGAGATCTTTTCAACACAAAATGGGAGTTCTTAGATGAGGGATCAGCTCATTGCAAGATTTCTGTAATCACAACTCAACTCGAGAAAAAGCATAGTTACTGGGATTGTACAGGAATCAGCTCCATTCATCTACTGTCTGTATAGTATCTAATGAGGGCTATGGTTTGTGTAGTAGATGATGTAACAAGAAAATTAGATATTTTGATAACAGATTTGAAGAATATTTAATTTCAAAAGTCTTCAGTGTAAAAAGTTATGCTCTCTAAAGAAATGAAGGACAATCTTCATTAAACGTAAGTCTGTTCTTCTCCAAAGTAAGGAAATAATTTTTCTTGTCTTGCTTTTTAGATGCCTTTACAACCCTGTCTGTCTGTCTGGCTGTCTGTACGTACCTATGGAAGAACTAAAAAACTACTGAATACTATTCATGGAATTTGATATTGGACAGCTTTACTAAAATTTGTGACACATGCCAATTTTGATTAAAAGCAACAAACACTTTACACAAAGGCCTACTTGCATTTCTGCTCATATCTCAGGTGTAGCTCTTTAAATATTCATCAGAGTGAAAACATTTTAAGCATTATGCCATGAAGACACATGGGGAAATGGAGGTATAGCTCCACCAGTCTTGATCTTAGCACTAAATCATCTTCACACCCAAGCTGGTTTTACCCTCAGGGAACGAGCATAATATATAGATCGAAGCAGAATCTAACTGAAACCATTTAAAAGATTTGTTATTTGATATCTACATCCAACTTAAAAGATACCTTAATTTAAAGTAAGACATTTAAAATGTACAAAATTTTGTGGATAGGAAACAAATCACTATCATTCATTTCAAACTAATATAATCCCAGGTTAGTTTCAATGTTTCAGTTATACCACTGGACAAAGGACATTTTATGCCATTAATGCACTAGTACATACTCCCATTTTGCATGTTGAAAAATCTGGCCATCTGATTCTTCTAAACCACATTCCTGTGAAATTAAGAAGATAAAATATTGAGCAAATCATGTTTTATAATTTGCTAATACTCCATAATAGCTCAAGACAGTCCCTTTAATGTGTTATGCAGCTTGTTTAGAAAAATACAAACTGCAAATATATCCTTATAGACTCTTTAAATCAAAGTGTTTCAGTGCTGCTCAAGATTTAATTTAGCCAACAGCAGTTCAACGCAGTTTATAAATAGCTAAATAATTCATTTGAAGTAACAGGCCCATAAACTCACATCCTTTTGTACAGAAAAAGGAAAACTCATTATTCCAGTCCTTCCAGTTCTTTGCATAATTTTCCATACACTTTCCCAGGTAAACAAAATTAACTATACAGTAGACATCAAGGACAGCAATTACAAAATTAAAGCCTGATAGAATCAAATTTGGTACTAATATTTTTCCAGACAGTATAACCAGGAATTTCCTGATATAGCAACTGCTTTTATAGACATCCAATAACATCAGATTATTTTAATTTTAAAACTGCTTTTCACATCAGTGGAGTACTATAAGTTTTGACCAATATGGTCATCATCAGGTGCTTAAAAAATTGCTGTTGAAAACTGCTTCACTTCCATCGATGAATACAATACCCTCATTTTTGTGCCTATGTGTTGTATTTCTGTAACATGTAATGGTAACTTTTTTAGTACTTCACATATGGAGTACATTAGTGTTTGTTATAATGTGGTTGGATATGTACTTAACTGGGTGATTCCTCTTGCATATTGTGTGTAGCTGTTATGAGTGTTTATGAAGTGGGCTCTTTGATATATAGGGTAGATGGGGTGTGTGTGCTGCTATCTAGTGTTTAGTTCATATAGTGTTTAAAATGTCAGATTATGTGTGTTAATGTATCATTCATATGTAACCTGTCTTGGCTGATTTAATATATGAGGAATGTTTCTAATGTCCATAGTATTATTTATGCCCCATTATGCATGTCCTATATTGAGTATGTGGTTCAAATTTTAAGATAACACATGTTTGCATGTGAGACAGAAAATAAGAAGTGAAATAAGTGACATGCAACAGCATGCTGCAGTACAACATTATCAGATCAAATAAATTTCAGCAGGTACAGATTTGTTCATGGACATATAAAAAGAAAACCACAGTTACCTATTGATACTTGCATATTAAAACTTCATAACATTGGTCAGTTTAAAGGACAATGTACACAGAAATATTAAAGTTTTTACAAAGTTAATGAAAGTCCGTCTAGTGTAACAATTTGTAGGTCACTTCTTTATCACTTCTGCCTTACATGTTTCGGTTTAATACAACCGTCATCAGAGGCACATAGTACAATCATGAAAACACTGTCGTTGTTTAAGATGTACACAGTTATGTTTGCTGCGTGGACGCTGCTACAATATGTCGACGTGTAAAAGCACAACACTTGCTAGGATTGTTGAATGCACTATCAATTCTCACGTTCCATCTGAAACTGCCCTCAAGTTAAAACGCCAATGTTAAAATATGTTAAATATTTTAACATTGGCGTTTTAACTTGACTACAAAAATGGGAACTTATATTAAAAACATAAGTAAACATAAACAACAGACCTTTGAATTTTCAAGTTCATGTAGCAGCATAAGACGAAGAAGATGTCGGTGTTCTTGAGATGCAACATGAGAGTTCTTCTCAGAGCTGAAGGAAAGTCGAATCTTCACATCTCCTTGTTTCTTTGATTTGCCTTTCTTTTCCAGGGAGCACCACAGTGTCTGGCCTGATGCTGGAATATTCTGTAACCACACATTGAGCACTGTGATTTGTCATGATCAATTGAAATCAGTAAAATTGTGTATTTTTAAATGCTCATGAGTTACTAGGTGGAATCAGCCATGAAATGAAATAAAGAAACAATGGTAAAGAAGAGAGTGTAATGAAGTTACAGAACTAAATATTACGATAGTATATACTATGTTCATGTAAATTGTACATATGTGTGTAAAGAAAAGTAAGACATAAACCAAAACTTCTGGTTTATTGAACATTTGAACAGTAACTGGAGAACATGAAAGGGGAACAAGAACATTCTGGTTACAAGGAATTAATGAAGTGGCTGAAGTAATTTGAAGGGGAGAGGAATTATTTATATTTCTATTAAATGAGAATATGGAATCTACAGGCATGGGAAACCACCCAAGGAGGAGGAGGAGGAAATGGGTGGAGTATATTATGCTGCAACAAGAGAATATAGAGCCTTCTGTAATACTAACACACATTTTTCTCAAGGCAGGAATGCTGAAAACATTGAAAAGTATAAGAACAGTATAATAAAATGGGTTATCTGGAGGAAATGTTTTACAAAGATAAATATGTCCTCGTAACTATGCTCAACATCATAAAGGTATATGGAAGGAATGGAAGCAAAGCTCCATGCATGTATAGCCCCTGCACTTGATAAATGTTAGATCAGCTTCATTCTTCATCTTTACTCCAGTACCAACTGGAAATAAGGAAAAGTAGAACCATTCTGAATAGGGTAACAAAAAGACAAAACCATCTTCCACCAGAAATTGAACACCAGTCATCTAGTCTCTTTACTGACTGAACAATCACAGATAAACGAATGGCATAGTAATTAAGTTTATAGATTGTAGCTGTCTTTTAAAGCCATTTTCAAGTTAGTAAAAGTAATTTTGGAAGAATATTAACAAAACATAACAAATATTGTGTATAATATGTAGACTCACACATTTGTATGCTGCAGCAGTTATGTCAGACAAGTGGAACAAAAACATAACAATCATAACCAGAACCCAAGATGTATTACTGCATGTGAAACACATATGTTCAAAATATATGTACTTATTATAAGAGACTGAAATCAGAAAATAATAAGGCACTCATCTTTACTGTTAACAGGATCTTGAAATAAGCCTTATTTTAATTTCAAAAGCTACACCATAATTGTAACTATACAAATTCTTTTGTCAACTAACTGTGCTACTGCTAATATTTAATTTCGTCTGATTCTGAACAGACCATTAAAATATGACACGTCAGTTATATTTCCATCCACTTTGTAACGTACACCACACACTCTTCAGCTGCTTCTGTTCTAGTATACGAGTATTTGTGCAGTATTTCTTATTATATGAGTTCATAAATGAAATAAAAATTCCTTAAGTTTAACTTTATTCATTCTGTTCTGTCACCCTAGTCAATACACCATCCAGCAAGTGTGTGTGCATATATATATATAATGCCTTTACCTATTTCGGACAATTAATGATTATCTTCAGAAGGCAAATAACAACACAATGAGGAAACTACTATTTCATAAATCATAGTACATCAAGTTCAAAGTTGTCCAAAGTCTTATATATAAAGATTTTAATTAAGCTAAAATGTGGTGAGTTAAAATATTAATAAAATTCTTAATATTTCAAATCTTAAACTGCTAAGGGTTGTGTCTTCGTGCCTCTTATATCAACGGGAGATTGGGTAGATTGCCACCCTAGGAAGTCCAGGCAGTATTTTTTCTTCTTTATATAGCTGGTTAAGAGTGTGTGTTTGTTGTTGAGCTGCCTCAGCAAATAACGAAAGGAGAAGCAGCTCAACAACAAACACAGTCTCTTAACAAACTATATAAAAAGAGAAAACACTTCCTGCACTTCCAAGGGCAGCAATCTACCCAATCTCCCATTGATATAAGAGGCAGGAAGACACAAACCTTAGCAGTTTAAGATTTTAATTATTAAGAATTTTATTAATATTTTAACTCACCACATTTTAGCTTAATTAAAATCTTTATATATAAGACTTCGGACAACTTTGAACTTGATGTACTAAGATTTATGAAATAGTAGTTTCCTCAGTGTGTTGTTATTTGCCTTCTGAAGATTGTCATTAATTGACTGAAACATGTAAAGGCATCATATGTATATAAATGTACATTTGAGTCACACTGAACAGTGTAGTTAAATCATTCTATAGTAAAAATTCATGACTCCCACAATCCCCAAACTGGTAACAAAATACAGTGTTAAGAATATCCAACAGCAATTGACAGTGAGACATGACCCCCACTTTGTGTTCACTTTATGCAGTACACTCAAAAACTATGTTAAAATTGATTGCCAAGGCATAAAATGGATATTTGATTTCATTACTAGAATTAATTTACTAAGATTATATAAGAAATTTAGCGTAATAATATTTCAGTAATCCAATAATGTGATCAGAACGTTAACTACATGCAAATATCCAAATACGCAAAATTCACATTCCCAGTGTTGCTGTGTTCTCATATCACTGTTGCTGGATAGCTGATATACAAAATTTGAAATCCCGTATTTACGCATGTATAGGCTGCACATATTTTGCTAAAAATTCAAGAGGAAAACTGGGGTGCGGCTTATATTCGAAATATTCGAAATCACACTTCATTTAAAAAAAATTATATTCATAATTAGTAATACAGGGTGTAATACTCCTGAAATAATATTCCAAGAAAATTATTTTTTCTATAATTTCTGTCTGAAAATTGTGCTGCGGCCTATACACGCACGCGGCCTATACATGCCTTAATGCGGTATATTAATTTATGCAGAATTGTATACTTAATCACTCCAGGCCTCTTCTAGAAAACAGCTTGCTTAATGTCACGTTTTACACCTTAGCTACAGACTTGGCAAACATCCAATTTAATTTATTTTTCTATAATTGGAAATGTTCTTTTGAATTCATCATCTGTTATACTACGTTATCTTTAGAGATCATCAAGTATTTTCCTTTATTGTAATATTCTTTATTTACAAATTCTAATTTTTATGTTTATGTTCATGCACACTTTATAAATGCACTAGAACTCACCTGCACTGAAAAATTCTCATGGAATTTTTAACATAATCCCTTACCTTCAGAGGTAAGGTGGCGCTGCCCACCAGTTCGTTGTCATGTTTGCCTGTAGATGCAGTAACAGCAATTTCCTTCATCAGCTTTCTGAGGCCCTTTACTCCTTTCACTGCCCCAATTTTCATCATTTTCTCCCTAACTGTTTCTGCTGGGTCAAAGTCCCTAAAATTATAAAATAAATAGACAAAAGTAATACTTACCTAGATTAAGAGGTTTAATATGGTAATTATTTTGTGCTGTCAGATTACACTCAGCTAATTACTGTCTCCTCTGAACAAAGTAACTGAATAGAAGGTGGTACATACCAGACTTCAACGCAAAGGACATCATCTGCTGGATTTTCCACTGGCCTAAATAAACAAAAAAAAAAAAAAGCATATATATTACAGGAGGTACTCCAACTTTCCGCATTACAAGAATGTAGAGTGCGAACATTGCACGCACACACTTTCTCCCCCCCCCCTTCCCAAAGAAATCGAAGCTTAGAAGTTGTTTCAGTCTAGTACCAAGTATATTATGCTTGGGGGGGGGGAGGGCAAACGGTAGTGTAGTTGGTTGAGGCACTATGCTACAAGCCGGAAGGTCGCGGGTTCGAATCCCAATGATTTTCAATTGACCTAATCCTTCCTTCCGCACTATGGGCCTGGGGTCGACTCAGCCTCTCACAGAAATGAGTACCAAGAATCTTCCTGGGGGTTAAAGGGCCGTCGGCGTGTAGGGCTGACACCCTTACCGCCTTCTGTGAGGCAGTTGTCAAATATGGTAGCTTTGACATTGACGCTGGTCATTCTGAGCCCTTATTTATTTGGATGATTATAGATGAACGTGAAATTTATTTCAAATTAATTCTCGGTAATTTAAATTTCAAAAGTCTTATGTTTCGGTATTACTGGAAATGTATCGTGATCTATAATATCGTATTTCATCGTCTGGGACGTGCAATACGGTGTTTATGTTGACAATTTCTAGATTCTGGCAGAAACAAGAAGTCCGGAGTTATGACATTTACGATCAGTCATAAATTTAGCTCGGGTACAGGGAACCGGACGCGCCTAAAAAGGACAGGTCAGAGCTTGTTACAATTGCCTGTGAATGAGGGCCAGTATGATTGGGTTGCCTCGTTCAAGCTTCCTACGGAAGATGGGATGAAAATGTATATGTCAACACCATCTTTCGAATTCCCGGCGTGGGGGTGCAAGCCATTCCAAAAAAGGAGAGACTTTCACAATATTCCGAACTGAACGGACGTGACCTTTGCACGCTCCGAGACATAGCTTGCCGATAGTGTAACGCTGTAACTTAAAGCTAAGAATACATTAATTTAACAGTGTGGTGAATTAGCAGGTGAATAAACGTCAATTGGCTCAACTCTCAGAAAAACGCTTTCTTCGGCATCGCTACCCTGAGACTCATGCAAACCGACCCAGCTAGTTTCCCGTACCTATACCGATCTTCCTTAGTTTGATCTGTGATGACAACTTCCAGTAGCCATCATACACTGTCCTAAGGTAGAAACAGGTGTAGCAGGGATAGCACCATTCCAACTGCGCTGATACAAGCAAAGGCGGGTTGGAAAGGAGCGGTGTTAATATCTCTCAACGCTGTGAGTCTTCACGGCCAGTTAGAGGGATAGATTTACCTTTTCTTACCTTTACCTCATGATCATGTTACCTGAATTTGTTCAAGACCAGCTCTTAGAAGTAGTTTTCGCTTCATCTCCTATTTCTCGGTGATTAAACACACACATATCATCATGTAACCATTTTACTATTCTTACCAATTGTAATTTTCCAAGAAACATGCAACATGCATGCAATTGCAGCATTCGGTTCATAACATTAAATTCAGAACGGTTTTTCTTTCTGTTAAATAATGATATACAATCCAAAGTGAAGTTGATGTATATTCTGCAAGGAAATTAACTCATGATACACATAAGGGTAAAGTTAAAGTTGTCCCTCTGCTTAACTAATTAAGCACTAAGTCATATAGAATGTATAGATCCATATTTTCTTGACCTCAGCACTAGCTGAAGGTGAGTGGTCGGCTTCGGGTCCCTACCGCTTTACCCCCGGAGGAAGAGCCCCCTGTACCCATTGGATACGAGGTTGGGTGGACCCCTGAGCCGATCTGGACGACGCGGAGAAGTGAAAATTCTTGCCCCCACCGGGACTCAACTCCGACCCCTTGGTCGTCCAGTCCGTAGCCAATCACTATACCAACTGCGCTATCCCGGATCTCGATGATATACATATCGTATGCTTTAATTATATCGAAAACCCATAACATAACATTGTGTGACATTGTCACTGTTTATTAATGGAACTTGTTATAATGTTAAAAATGTTACATGTACAGTGTACCTCAGAAAACGTTCCACAGAATGCTGGGATTCTGTGAAACAGCTTAAAGATTTCTGCAAGACAGTACTATCTAATGGCGGACTATTTCATTTTGCAACGCCTTTGCTATCTCAGCAGAAGAATTAACTGCGTATGTTGCTTCATTATTGTCTTTTAAATGACAATGTATAGATTTAGGGGGGAAATTAATAAACATTGTTGTGTGCATTCTCAGCACAAAAAGTATATTAGCCGGCGTGCGCTTTTAGAAAGTATTCGATGCTTCTTGGTGACGACAATTGAAACTGCTGCTTAACACTGCTTCCAGTACGTTTGGCAATTTGCGTCCAGTTTTCCTAAAGATACGGATGGAAGCAGTGTGATGGTGACTACAGGTATACCTCGACTTACGAAGATAGTTTTTTCATGAAAACTGTTCCTAGGTGAAAATTCGTAAATCGAAAATAAAATTCCCTTTACTTTATATGTAAAAACTTAAGAACGTATGTAGTTCGTTGTAGCAAATATGATGTTTGTTAAATTGAAAATAGGTATAAATTAACAAGCTTCTTTGTAGCGAAAATTCATAATATGAGAGATACATGTATTTGTCAGTCTTAATATCGTAAAATTTAACGCGTATTTTGTATTCTCTAAAATTTTCTTAATTGATCGCTGGCTAAGATCGATTCATTTTTATGTTCACTATTGTTTTTTAAGACCTTGCCAGACCACACGTTGTCTGTTTTACTGTCAATTTTTACCTGAATATATATCTTCATTATTTTTATTTGCATTAAATTCCGAGTTTTGTAAAGACTGTTTAAGTTTACTTGTATCCGTGCGCAAATAATTGAGGCAGTCGGCACGCCTTTATCTTACTCTCTCAAAACTGGAGTTTAAAGATGAAAGAAAACACAAAGGAAGACCAATTAAACGATAAGAATGAAACAGACGTGCCTATAGTACTTAACGTATAAAAGATTACGGAACAAGCATGAATGTGATGACAACTGTCCCCTTAAGATATACTGTACGTACGTGTGTTGGTGATTGGAATGCGTCTGTTGCCCAGTGTGTATTTTGGTACGAAACTTTGAGACATTACAACGGAATTTTCATACAAACACGCAAAGACAGACACTTCAAGATTTTCATATGTAAATGTGGTCAACTGAATCATTCACAAATCAATTTTTGACGTTACTCATTAAATATAAAAATGGAAACGCGTGTGAAACGTCATATAAAAAGGGTCATCATATTGCTCGTTGCGGTGAAGCCCATACGCTTGCCGGAAATCTTACATGTTGTGTAAAAGTCAGTTTCGCTTGTTCTTGGTGATAATCACTTGAATGTTATAGAATGGTTTAAAAAACTTAATGCAGAACATGCCATGAGGTACAGTTTCCAAAAATGTATCTGATTTCAAGGCCCTTGTGGTCAGCAGGCACCCCTTTCTTTATGTAAGTATTATTCCCAAAATATGGGATGGGGTTATTCTAGGGTTTTTGTACCGTCACACAACAAACATGGATTTGATTGGCGTATAATAAATGATTCAATCAAGTATAATAATAAGTCAGTCAATTTATTATAGGAAACATGCTCCATCTAACTGACCATCAGCAGGTGTGCATCAATAAAACAATAAGTATATTATTTTATTGCTGAATAATATGATCAAATGGATCCATTTTTACTGTCTTGAAGTTAAAGTTTTTCGCATTGGGGGTGTATATTAAAAATGTATATATATTTATATATAACGTAAATATAACAAATGGTACGTAGTTTTAAGGAGTGGGAGTAGTATGTTATGTTGTAACCGCCTTTGTGGGAGGGGGAGGGAACTAAGTGATTGTGGATTTTGGTTTTTAATTGTGTGTACGTAGTTAGTAAATTGGCTCTAATGTTTTGGTGTACTTTTATATCTTCGTATTTTCTTCTGGATGCTCCTGCTCGCGTCTTATGTTTCGTGGCGTTGGTGTGTTGCATTGAGTAGTTTCGTAACACTCAATATCTTTGTGATTCAGTAATATTTGTGAGCTGGTTTACAGTGTTGGGTTTCATAATCCTATTCTTTGCTTACGGATATGTTATGAACTGGAAATATTGTCGCTTCGAGGTTGGTTTTGTTATGCATAGTGGTTTTCATGTGATCGGATTTTTTTCATTTATTGCTGTGTATGCTGTATTTTTCTGATGTAACTGCTTGATGAATAATGTGTTTAATTTAACTTTATGAATATTGTAAATCAAGACGTTATACTTAAAACAAAAATCTTTGTTTCGAGGGTTCCTCAAAAACATGTTACACTCAAAATGATTCCGCCTCGGTAACACAGTGGGAGCCACTGATATAGAAGCATTAACATAACATTAACATATCAGTACTAACACGGTAGGATGATGTAATGAAGACCAGACTAACAATGTCAATAAAAAACAGAGAAATGTACGGTATACTTACAGCGAGAAGTGTTCTTCCCATACTGGACTCAGCGTTTCCTGCTTGACAGAAGTGTTGTAGCGGTGAGCGACGGATGAAGTAAGGAAGAGGGTACAGAAAGGATCACTTAAACCTGCACAAGAAAAGGGATATTGTTAAATTACATTTACGTATTTTTCCTTCTACTTTACCAACGCAAACACGAGCTCTCACACGCGCGCATGCATATGTATAGCGCGTTCCCATTCCTCAAATTACTGCTCAAATTGACGAGTTACATTAAATCAGTTGACTCAATAGGCCCACTCTTCATTAATCCTGCTGCTAAGAAGTCTCCTATAAACATTTCTGTGAACACAATAGGACTGGCTGTATTGATATTTGTGCCAAAAATGCAACTTACCCCTCCTTAAGTGCGGAACGCTTGTTCAAATCGTTCTATCTATCTGTCTGTCTGTCTAACTGCCTGTCTGTCTGTGGCTCTACAACTCTTTGTTGGGCCTTGGCTGCGTTTTCAGTTTCTGGATCTTTTGCACGGTCGGTAGGACCCCTTGGACAGGGTATCAGCCCGTCGCAAGGCCGCTACCTGCCCACAGGAGAGCACAAACACAGAATGAATGCACACACAGCCGTCCATGCCTCAAGTGTGATTCGAACCAACGATCCCAGTGTTTGAGCGGCCGAAGACAGTTCAAGCCTTTCCTTGAAAGCATAGGTTTTACGTTTTCTTTATGGCTAGTGGGGTGGGACTATGTACCTTGTACTGCGGCCACTTCTGGCCTATTGTACAAGCCCCAGATTATAGGTGAGGATGATTGTGGAGCAGTTGGTGGAATGAAAATTGGCAGGGGAAACCGAAGTACTCGGAGAAAACCTGCCCCAGCGCCACTTTGTCCACCACAAACCCACTTGACCAGACCCGGGATCGAACACGGGCCGCCGCGGTGGGAAGCCAGCGACTAACCGCTATGGCGCGGCCTTAGGTTTTACGTTACTTATACGAGAACATCAAAATTCAACATTGACGAACTGAAAATCTAGAAGTAATAGTGGATTGAATGCATCACAATGTTATGCCATGGCTACATTCCTTAATGTGTTAATTTTCCTGTACGCAGATGTAATGGATATTACCAAACTGATATGAGTTATTGAACATTTATATTTACATAAACTAAATTTGAGGATTGACTTACCATTTGCATCCTTCGGCTTCAAATCTTTGGCTTCGATGATCTCAACATTTAAGAGAATGTTTGGTGCCTGAAACATTTTCAAAACTAGCTGTAGCATATCTGAAATGTAGGTACACATGCATGATAAAAATGAAAACGAAAATTAGTAAGGAAATTTAAATTTAGTATTGACTTCAGTCTATTGTAATTTAGATTGACGAAAAATTCCTTGTTAATGTTCAATTTGATGCTTTCACGGTAGAGTTCGTACAATGTATTATCTTCTGGGTCGTAACGCTGCATTCTCATAAAGCCAAAAGAAGTTTCTAACTGCAACCATTCTCCGAGTATGAAATCTGTGTCAGAATCTTTTTCACTTATACACCAGAAGAATATACAGTCGTTGCAGGTTTATTTGTAATATAATATTCAACAGGATACATAATCCATTAGAAAGTAACATTCACCTCCTTTGCTCGTGCCATTTCTAGCAGATGATTATGTTTTTCATGATCTAACTTGAAGGTCTCTTGGAGGTAGCAAAACAGAGGGGTGCGTTCTTCTTCAGCACTTGCATCACAGCCAACAATGTGGAGAATCTCATAGAGTACCTCCGAATACAGCTCTTCAATCTGTTATCAACAAAAATAATCATAATATCACATGCCGGGAAACGCAACAACAATGGACCGTTGCCTGTGAATGCCTTAAGCAACAAACGCGTTTTCCCAAAGATGAAAGGACAACAAACGCTTTTCCCTGGAGATGAAAGACAACAGAGGGTCGTTGGATGACAACGGTATAACCGAACTGTTGAGAAGGGTGTTCTGGAAGCGGTCCGCATAAGGCCTACTTTGACTTGACTTGTCTCGGTGCGAGACAGCCGCGGGAGGTTCGTTTTGGAAGAAGACCTGAACGTGTGATTTGAAGGTTTCAAGAGGGTTGTAGTGCAGTGATACTGGGAGTGTGTGGTTCTGTGAGACGTTTATAGCTCCCGTGTTATAATTAAGTAAAGACTTGTGGAGACAGACTAAAGAGATCAGCATGGAATGATAGTAAGTTGAATAAATCAGTAACGGCATTATAATTAATTGTACTTACAACTTGTGGGCTGTTAATAAATCCAATTACTAACCCGAACCCCGTCTCTAGTCGCCAATACACGTGACAATACCAAGAGGTCATTGGTGTGAAATTGTTGTTCCGAATGTGTATACCCAAAGTAAGGATAAAAGTTATGATACTGTCACGTGTTAGAGACAAGACGCGGTATCTTTTTATTGATAATTGGGTTTAGTGAACACGTATAACTCGTAACTACAAATAACTATGACAGTGTCACTGATTTGTACACTTTATAACTCACAGCACACATAGGCTTGTTTGTTTACTATTCGTTACTATGCAACAGCTGCTAACAATGCGAGTCACTAACCTTGACGCGGATCGCATAGAAAAGATCGCTTCCATGGTTTTACTATTCTTGCGTGTTTATTCCTTGGCGAGGAAACATGTGCACCGCACCACTGGGTAACAACACCCACTTCTTTTTTATTGCACTATTCGCCTTTCAGCCATCATGTCAGAATACAAAGGACAGCTTGTATAAGGAACCAAAATGTGCATTTTATCAACTCCATGAGTACTGCATGAAATTTTTACGTTTTTCTGTAGCTTACTTAATATGGAAGGAAACAATCGTGGCCTTTTTTAAGGTACCATCCCAACATCTGACTTAAAACATTGAAGTAAACCATAAAAATCCTCAGTGAGGACAGTCAGAGTGTCGGCCGAGATTCGAACCGGGAACCTCCCAAATAAAAGTCAGATGCGTTACCGCTAAAGTAGGAAGAGACGATATTTTCAAACCTACAATTCGGAACGAGAGTTTGCATGAACTAGTAATGGTGATGGGGTTAGAATAATAAACTCTGTCTGCCTATGGTCCTTTTGTTGGACTCTGACCGCTTTTTCCATTTCTTAATCCTATAAACAGTAAGTAGGGCTCCTTGGACGGTTGATTAGCCCGTCGCAAGGCCGTTACCTAAACAGAATAAACGCACACAGACATCCATGCCTTGAGTGGGATTCGAGCCAACGATCCCAGCGTTCGAGCGAGACAAGACAGTTCATGTCTTAGACCGCGCGGCCACTGTGATCGGCTGGTAACAAATTCTGCCACATCAGAAAATGTGTTCTAGAGTAGGCTCATAATGGCCCCATTTCATTTGTTTTAGAAGAAAGATAATATCCAATTTCAATCGAAATTTTATTATCAGTCTTCAGCTTATGTTCTGTACGTATTGTTCTGTTATTCTATGGCGTTATTTCCGAGGTTTCCCGCCAAATTTCCAGATATAAAATGGGATTAACATAATCCATTCGTCCCGAGTCTCGTATCGTGGTTACGGACGAGTGGAGGCAAAACATCGTACATTCTTACCTTCAACACTAGATAGAAGTGTATGATCAGATTCGTGCTTCGGCCACTTTACCCCCGAAGAAAAAGCACAATAATTGTGAAAACGGAAAATTGCACCAGAAAAGGCCAGACAAGGCTATGAGATATTAACAGGTTTCTGGCATATCTTCAATAAATGTATGTTTCTTATTTCATTTAGCAATCCTTTCTCAATTATATGGTTGAAATGGAGCTGTTCTACTGAATTATGAACTGGGAAGCTGGAGAAGGAAGAATTTTAAGGAAACGTTTGAGAATTCCTTTTCTCGAGGGATGGAGGGAACCTGCAAAAGAAAATAAAGATAACCTTCCTCTGGACGGAAAATCGAAACTGGAACCTACCACACAAGAAACAACTCAACCACGGCCTCGTTTGTCAGTGAGTGTTTGAATGACTAATTCCGCGGAGCAGCGTGCTCCATGAGAAACTGATAAGTTTCTCAAATGATCTAGAAATTCCTCTTCTTTTAAATAACCTAAAGATTCTTTGTTATATTCACAACAGACACTGGTCGCTTTCCCGAACAAACTAAATATCTGTGTTCACAATACTTACTGTCATATTTTGCAGGTAGAGGGTAGTTTGTCTCTGCAACATATCCTTTCTGACACCACGAAAAGTATTCCTCATCTGTCTTGTCACTGTCCCTACACCTCCAGCCATTCTTTTTCATTCACACGTCAATTTGAAGAAGAAGGAGAAGAAAACTTTTCTTTGTCAATACAGTGAAGATCCAGATGCTCTTAAAATCTATTAATGCTTTTCAGGAGCCAGGCGCATGGCTACATCTGCAAGCACATCCTGTCTTCTCACGTAATCCTCCCAAAGAATCTAAGAGAGTGCATCACCACCCATCAGCAGCGAAATATAAAAATCGCAAATCCTACCACAAAGTCTTGAGACGTTATATTAACCCTTCGCTAGGCATCACCTGTACTGCCATAGCTGCATGAGCATGCGCGATTGCTATTTTACACAAATTTGTTATAACACTGCAGCTCTGGGAGTGGAAGCAGCCATATTGCTAAAAATATTGATAAGAAAAATGTTGAAGGCCTAAGGCTCTTATAAAATTGTATTTTATTTAACCCTCTTTGAAATAGTGTACTCTTTAATTAATTACAATTTACTACGTTTTTGACACAGATGATAGTAACTGTGATGTAATCCTCTAAGCGCACACTGCCAGATTCTATTCCTGACAGTCTTTGGTGCGAAATTCTATTTTGACCCAATTGGCTCTTGATAGATATTCCATGTATAAGCGATTCATATTAAGTTTTTTTAATCAGTGAATGTGAGGACTACCTCAATATATTCGCTACGTCACAAATTCGTAAACTGCTCTTGTAAATTTGCGATATACTGGTACTACTGGGAGGAAGAAACTAAGTTTGGCAAAAAGCCCGGACATAGCAGTTAACTTGTTTGTGTCGTGGTGAATAAACAGGACTTTAGATCCCGAAATGTAATTCAAGTACAAGAAGCAAACCTGACTTTGAAGGTCTTTGTTTACTAGCATCTGGAACAGGCTTCAAGATGTTTGAATTATTAAATAATACAGTTTTACGACTGTAATTTAAAGAAACCTGTCCATTTTTATTGCCCAAATATTGTTCTTTTGTAAAATAGAAAAAAGGGGGAATACCGCATTTCCGAACACACAGGGTGCTTACCCTGCAATGTTGCAACACTTAATCTTCATTTGATATGTTTACGAATGCAATGTCGATGGTCTACTTAACAAGAGGATTCTCATTACCCTACATGCTGGTGACATTTCTGCTCGTAATTCGTTATATATACACATAACGTGAACCCAAGATGTAAAATATGGTTCAAATGAATGGTTTATGTCTTAATATAATAATCTGAATGAAATACACAGCCCTTGATCATCAATCAGTGAATTAATTGTGTTAAAATACCATCGCATTATTATTTTAAAATGTATTAATAAACATCATTAGCGTTCCCAAACGGCTACAAAATATATTATGATGCAGTTTCATCGTTTCAGAACGCTAGGGTCTAATGTTCTGTTATCTAATGACGAAACTATATTAGCTAAAACAGACTTTTAGCCCGATTTCACTTGCTTCAACTGAACTGAATAGGTTTACGTGGCGGTAATATGTCGGATGTGTAGCTGAAGGTACTTTATTCAAATCTCGGCAGAAGTGTCGGCCAATCTTATTGTCGTTTCGCCTCGTTTTACTCAATATTAGAAAAATTCCGGCATAGTACCTTGAAGTCGGTCACGACCGCTTCTTCCACCCTCCTTTCTAGTTCACATAAAACTCTCCTCTCTTAGTCGACAGAAATGAACATCAGCAGTTAAAGACAGTCGATAAATAATTCATGCCGAATTTGGAATTAACGTTGAAGGATTTCTTTGACTTCACTATACTACCTCGGCTTCAGAGGTTATTTTAGCATCAAACAGTGGAAGGCGGGGTGAATATAAACTGCGAATTGGGAAGAAAGAGAGAAGGAGTTTTTGCTTATCCCTAAATTCTCCTGGAGTGGCACCAAGGCACGTCCTCCAGCTGTGGACGGAGGAGGTTATCTCCGGATATGGCCCGTAGCAGCGTATTCAAACAATCCCGAACAGCCCATGAGGAATGGTCCTCCGGCTTTCTGGGCTGAGGTGATGTTATAAAATTGTTTGCAGGGCCTAGACGTGGGACCTTGTGAGCTAGGTAACGAACCTTAGGGGAATGCTGGGAATTTCTTGCCTATCTGAAAGTAGTTAGCTTCTCAAGAGCTAATTAGTTTGTGCATACTTTTAGACTGGAGTCTGAAAGTGATTCTCTATCTGCAGCCTCCTAACACACCTAACTCTGATACTAAGTAGTTCTCTGACACCAATCCCATCCTGTATTTAGTGTAAAAATAAGCACTTAAACTAACACAAATGTTGAGGAACACTAACCATATCACTAAGGATCTGTTTTCTTAACAATGGAATTGATTTCGAAAATTTGAATTTGCGTATCGTTACATTGCATCAGTCGATATGTTAACATGTGGTTCGATCAGTCACGTACTGGCTAATACCTTGAAATAAGTGGCATACACTTCCACATATTTGCGAAGTTAAAACAGGCGGACTATGTAAATTATTTTAATGCTGATATCAGAGAACTACTGGAAAAAACTGAAGGTCACATTGCGACTGACAGTCAGTCAGTCAGTCAGTCAGTAAATCTTGGTGTCGAGCCCCGGATATTAATTATTACCGTTTGATAGTTACGGTCTTGTTTCTGTGGGGCGCCTTCTCTGACGAGACGACGGGTCTGTCTTTTGTATATGCTGCTGGCCCTTGCCAGCGCAGTCTTTCTCGGGTCCGAGTTCCTTGGGACTCGCGACCATATTTTACTGTCTCAAAATTGAGACTTCCCTTTCTGTCGCCTCCTACGACTCGCAGGGTCTCGGTGAAGGTATTCGACCCCCGCCTCCACACGGGGTTGTCCTCCTCGCTTAATAATGTTCCTGCTCCTTATATAGGCTCGGCACGGACCACATAGAGAACACATTGCTGCTCGGCAACATATATCAGGTATTGTTGTCAGGTGTGACTACCTACGCATTGCCTAGCAATAGACTCTCTAATGTTGCGTGACGTCACAGCCTAGCGAGATGGGGGTGTTTACCGAGTGTTGTTATGCAATGAACACTCGTTGCTACGGATATTCCTACGCAACGGTCTCAACAATTTCCATTGTTTCGTTGCTCAGCGATGGACAATATATAACACGCCACAATATTAAGGGTATTACCTCAACAGTTTGAGAGGCTGCAGTGTTGTCATTACTAATATGAGGAATTTGCCATGTATGCACTCGGTCTTAGTGGTATGATATAAACATACTACGTTTCAAGAAGATTATTACAGACGTTCAAGCAATATTAAGGATTTGTCTCAGAAATTTGAGAGGCTTCAGTGTTGGTATTACTGATGGGAGGAATTTATGATGCACGTCACTGCGATGGTTTCAGGGGCATGATAAACATACCAGGGTTGACAAAGAATGGTTCAGCCATTCAAAAGTTAATAGGGAGGGATACACTCACACAAAGATAGCAAGGTGATCTCGTAAGTCTACTTTTATTTTTTCCAAAATAAGGAAAGTTATCTAAAAATGGATTCTAAATAAAGAGGTTGTGAGTGTGTGATTCGATTCAGGGGTCAGGATAGGGTCCACTTGCGGGACTCCTGGAAACACGATAGTAAACCACTAGGGAGAGGACTGTTAGCTTCTCAGAAGTGACTTCTGCTTCATGGAGTCAAGAACTGAGAACAGTGGGAAGCTGGTGTTTCTACTGATGGACCACGTACGGTCTCTTTGCTACCGTGAGCTACACATGAAGAGTTAGCTGCTTTATCATCTCATGTACTGTAGAAAAATATTAACCGTACGAAAGTTCAGCCTTCGTTGCTAACGACTTGACAGACCCCGTTTATGACTAACACAGCACTCATCTCGAATGTAAATTATTTACAGAGCAAACTGAAGTTACTTTTTCGAACACTTGCATGCCACGTGCAATATTGGACTGAGGCCAAGATGTAGTTAATATATTTTAACGAAAGGTGGATACCAAAACAGAGAGCCAATATGTGGAACGCAACATCTGCATCTTATCTGGCTACTGTTTAAGCTGCTAATTGGGCGGCTTTATCTTCTCTCTGACGCAAGTTGCCACGTGTTTGCCTCCAAATAAATATACCAGTCTCATAAATAAGTAAAGGATATATGTCAGTTATTCTGCTACACTTTTACACCTCCCCCCATTAACTCTCTTCGCAAGGAACAAGATGTTTCAGAAGAAAGTGCTGAAAATACTGGGGCCTAAGAGAAGACAGTGCCGATTGCAGTGGCCGCGCGGTCTAAGACATGAACTGTCTTTGCTCTCTCGAACGTTGGGATCGTGGGTTCAAATCCCACTCAAGGCGTGGTTGTCTGTGTGTTAATTCATTCTGTGTTTGTTTTTCTGTGGGTAGGTAGCGGCCTTGAGACAGGCTGATCACTCGTCCAAGGAGTCCTACCGTCTGTGTAAAAGAGATTACGAAACTGAAGAAGAGGCCAGGCCCCAACAAAGGGCTGTAGAGCCATTGATGAATGAATGAATGAATGAGAGGAACGTATAGAAAAAGCTGCATAATGAAGGGCTTCGTGGCCTGTTCTTATTTTTCTTTAAATATTTATATTGATCAAACCAAGGAATATCAAATGAGAGGGACATATACAATGCATGGGAGAAATAAGAAACTCAAAGTTTCACGGGGAATCTGAAGGAGACAGACCACTTCAGAAACTTACACATAGATAAAAGGACAGTATTAAAATGGATCTTCCAGAAATAGTTTGTGAGGATGCTGAATGGGTTAATTGGGCACAAAACAGTGTCTAGTGACGAGGTTTTGTGAACACAGCAACGAAATCAGAGGCTGAGCACTCCTTGAGCAGTTGAGTGGCTATCAGCTTCTCTTCGTGCAGTTAGTATTAACCAGAACCACAGAACTTACATTCCATCCCATGGCGTCAGTGATGAACTCGTGTTTGTCAGACTCCTCCGGTTCAGAGTCGCTGTCCTGGAGAGCCATCCCGACCCCTCCACTTTCCTCTGGAACCTCCAGCTCCAGCTCCACGTTCTCTGGCTGTTCCTCTTCGCACACGAGAGCCATTCCTCCAGTCTCTTGGTGTGCATGCTGCTCTTTGAGCAGTGTGCCGAACTTCTCAAAGAATCCGCCATCAAGCTCCTGGATTCTGTAAGAAATGACGCCATGCTATCATTAGGGGATTCCTGCTGTACAGAAGCATCATTGCTCGGGGTATACCTTTCGTGACGTTCTTATCCTACAGAACAACAAGCATTAGCACGATGTCTAAAGTCGGGTCAGTGTGAAAGCTGTGTTTGCTCAGACCAGGGAGTTTCAAACGTAAATGTAAAAATCGATACGAGTAAAACTACTCGTAGTTTCTTAATGAGTTGGTCATGACTATCTGGCCGGATGTTTCGTCTCCAAAACCAATTAGTCGATTTCAATTAAATGCTGTACGGCAAGCTGCTGAGGGGAATATTAGGACATGTAGAGGGATGAAACAATATGTGGCTGGAGAAAACTTCATGACGAGGAACTGCATAACACGTATTCTTCGCCAAATCAATTAGACTGATCAAATCAAGAAGGATGCGATGGGCAGCGCATGTACAATGCATGGAAGATATAAGAAATTCATACAAGGTTTTGGTGGGAAAGCCAGAAAGGAAACGACCACTGCGAGGTTAATATTAATACTGGTCTTAGAGAGATAGGATGGTGTAGTATGGATTGGACCCATCTGGCTCAGGATATCGACTAGTGGCGGGCTCTTGTGAAGGTGGTAATGATCTTTTGGTTCCGTAAAATATTCGGAAATTCTCAAGTAGCTAAGCGACTGTTGACTTCTCAAGAAGGCTCCAAGCAATTCGTTAAGTCAGTCAGTTAGTCAGAGAGTCTATATAGTACATTATAACTCGTGTTCTTCATAAAGCACAAACAAGCAGACCTTCCTTACTTCAGCCACTTTCTAGTCAATCCTCATTTCTAGAACTTCGGGCGGCATATTCTAAAGCAAAACGAAACAGAAGTCAGCACGAAACATCTTGTTTTAGTCCACTGTGTACTGGAAATGTGTCAGATACTCCCGATAATTACTGCCGCTCAAACTTCAAAACTTATGCTAAATAAATCTGATGCTTACAGTTAAGGCTGTGGCCACACGAGCGCACAAAATGCGTCCGTTGTAACGAACGTCGTGACGTCCGTTGTAGAAATAAACAAGAGAGGCGAATGCTACGCTTTCTTCTGGCTCCATTGCAGACAAGAAACTACGCACCACATTCTGCAACTGTGTGGTGTCCTCAGCAACGTCCGTCATAAAGTATGTTCTTTGCAACGGACGTACTTCGTGGGCTCGTGTGGCCCCAGCCTAACAACAAACTCAAGTATACTTCTATGCTAATTGAATCATTTGTGTTTTCAAACAAATTAATAGCTACGTATTTATTCATTTTATCTCTGTGTCTTACATTATTCCGGTACAAATTCGTTGATTGAGAGTTTGCATTTACGTAGGTACTTAAGTGGTTACTGACGTTTCGGAGAAAGCTACTGCCTCCATCTTCAAAGTCGAGTTCTATTTATATGTTCACGTTCTGGACTGAGAGAAAAGAGCGTGCCAACCTGTTCATCTCGTGCACAGCAGTTTGTGTATAAGCACGAAAGCTGCAAATGACCTAACAGATATTTTGAAGGATTCATTCCCCCCCCCCCCCTTTTAACAGACAGGATATCGGTAGAGAGGTGATTCACAAGAGCAGACAAGGAAGCGTGACGTCAGAACGGGTTTCCACCAACCTGAACAACAGGTGACTTGAAAGAGGTTGCTGGTATCTTAATGTGGACCATTCATGGAATCGTAAAAAGAGATGCACAGTGACGTCAACATATCATCTAGGCGAACAAGAAAAAGGATCTGACACACCAACGTTTTTCGCGACTTGTGTGTGTGTGTGCGTGTGTGTGTGTGAACAAAATGACTGGTGGGACGGATCACTGTTATACGGTGTTATTCAAGCCTATACGTTTTTGGGGGAAGGATTTATGGACTCGGTCCCTTCTGAATAATGTTCTGTTAAGTGGGTTCTTAGCACCATTTCCCTCGCCGACATGGAACTTCGATACGGTAATGATTCAAGCGTTACTTTGGAAATCTTAAAAGAACCATAGAAAGTTCTTCAAGTCAACCAGCCTCAAGGTTCGATCCACGTATATTCCAATTGAATGCCAGGTTCGTAAGTGCGTTTCTTTAAGCTCCAAATGTCTGCGTGATTGCACAATGAGGAGCTTCATAGCTTGTACTCTTCTCCAAGTATAATTAGAATGATCAAGTCAAGGAGGATGAGGTGGGCAGGGCATGTAGCACGAATGGAGGAGAAGAGGAAGGCATATAGGATATTGGTGGGAAAGCCAGAAGGAAAGAGATCACTGGGAAGACCAACAATATTAAAATTGATCTTAGAAAGATAGGAAGGGATCGCATGGATTGGACTGATCTGGCTCAGAATAGGGACCTGTGGAGGGCTCCTGTGAACACGGTAATGAACCTTCGGGTTCCATAAATTGCTGGGAAATTCTTGTGTAGCTGCAGAATTAGCGGTTCCTCAAGAAGGGCACAGCTCCGTGGGTAAGTAAGAGTTTGCGTGTAGGCCTTAATGGAATTTCATGCGTCATAGGCCTACATGTTACAGAACAGTTAGCTGATGCTAAACTTAGCTATAGCTATTTCCTTCTATTTTCCTGACGACAGCTCCAGGCTGTCTGATCAGTAAAGGAATTTAAAGAAACTGACTAAATTACTCTTGGTTGCTGACGAGTAGTCCAGTTACCTCTTCAGAAGTATGCATATATCTCATTGGCAATTTAATGACGTCAGAATTCTGATGTCACCTCACCAATGAATCACAAAACAGCTGACTGGACGATGACGTAGACCGAAGTATTTCTTTTTCTTGCGTGTTACGCCTCTGATTCTTAGTAAAGCTGTTAATATGGTGAACTATTATGCAGAATTCAACCGAGAATGAGGAAAACCGAAAAGATTTAATTTCCAAACGTCTGGGAAATAGCTGCGGTTAACATTTGCCCATTTCTTTACCGATTCCTGCAGCCGGAAAGTTTATGACGCACAGAGTCATAAAGCTCTCAAACACTGGGGATTACTAACTGAACTCCGTGGCTCTTGTCTGCAAGTGAACTATACGGACCGAGGGACCGCCGCTTGTCGGCGAAATTACTGCCAACTTTAGAGGATAGAGGGTGTCACCTGATCGCGCAACGAATCCACACGGTCCTGCAAACGGAGGAACATGTCTTCTGGAAATGTAAACTGTACGAGGACCAATGGGGCAACAATGATGGACATTTTGTCTGAGAACAGCAGAGAAGAATACCCAAAGTCAGTTATAGAACTCTTAAGGCTGGAAGAAATAAGATTTCTGCAAGGTGTCTGTTACTTCATAAACAACATTCCTATAAGTAAAAAAAAAGAAGAAGAAGAAGAAGAAGAAGAAGAAGAAGAAGAAGAAGAAGAAGTAACGCTATCCCTATACCAGGCCGTGGAGGCCCATAGGTTTGTGAGACGTTGAGGCTCCCACATTATGTGGACAATCGGCTCACAAATGGCGGTGAGGTTGTCAGCCTTACACGCCGGCTGCACTTTACTCCCGGGGAAAATTATTTAATTAATTCCTAGTACTCATTTCTGTTAGAGGCTGAGTCGACCCCAGGGCCATAGTGCGGCTGGAAGGATTAGGTCAATTGAAAAAAAATCCAATGACCTCATCGGGACTTGAACCCGCGACCTTCCGGCTTGTAGCATAGTGCCTCAACCAACTACACTACCTGTACTGATTATTAACAGTATACTCTCAGATTTAAGTTAAGATCTATATTAAGAATCGCGGGGTTACCGCTATTATAGAATAAGATATTTATAAGAATGTGCTACAGAAGGCTGGATGTGCATTGCCTAGGCCTTTTTTGTATTTACAATATTCTTTTCTACAATAACAAATTCACGCGGCCGTTACTTTCGGTTTTCTAGACCAGAGCCGCTACTTTTCCATTCAAGTAGCTCCTCAGTTATCCTCACGAGGCTGAGTGGACCGTGTTCCAGACCCACCACTTCTTAGAAAATCTGGTAGCGCCGGGAATCGAACGCGGACCTCGGGATCTGCAGCCAGGAACTCTGACCACTAGACCACAGAGGCGGTCAAAACTGAGGATTCCAAGTCCAAATTTCGCTCAGTGCACATATCTGTAAGTGGATTTATGACGTCGAATTGATTCCTTGTCCAAGATTCCCTACGCTTTGTCCTGATGCGGACTTATGAAACCCCAACCGTAGCGAAGGTCAAAGAGAGAACACTGATGGAGCTCCGAGAAAATGAAGAAAATAAAAGTTTAGATCATAGGTACCGCTTGTTCCTGTCATGAGCCACATCAATCCAGTCCACACTCTCATATTCTCTTTTTAAAATAAATGCTAATATTATATTTCTATCTATGCCTAGGTCTCTCAAATGGGCTCTTAACTATATGATTTTCCAACCCAAATTTTCTTGTTTTTCTCTTCAAGAAACCATAATCAGCTTTGCCACTTGTCAGTGCGATAGAGAACTGCCTCTGACTGATAAGTCTGCGATCGTCTGCCTTGCATTTCCACAACTAAAGGAATGTCCCGCCATCATTTGGGAGCGCCTGAACACAGTTTGGTAGTCGATCATTTCAGAGGTTTCATGTCTACGGACCGATGAATCGCACAGCGGCATTACCTGCTCCCGAAATAGATGTGAGTAGCTCCAGGCAGAGAGCGTCTGTGGATGGCTGTAAGCATGCGCCCATACAGTGTGCCTCGCTCTATAGTCTGTATGCTACGTCAGGATATTTATTCTAGGTTCGAACTTTATAATCTAGACTTTTATTGGTCATCAATGTTCCATAAAAGTAATTGCCCTACGAGTCCAGTAGAAAATTAAGGAGAAGAAAATCCTCACTGATTCAAACACTTGAAGCAACAACATGTTGCACATTTCGCTATATATTTCTGCTACATCTAAGTGACATGCTTAAACGTTCATTGCACGAAATGTTATCGTGCCTGACTAATTAACAGGTTAACTAATTGCTTCTCTTAACAAATTTTCGAGTAATTATTTATTATTATGGCTCTACAACCCTTTGTTGGGCCTTGGGCACGTTTACAGTTCCTTGATTCTATACACAGTCGGTAGGACTTCTTAGGCGGAGGATCAGCCAGTCGCAAGGCCACCACCAACAGACGACAACACAAATACAGAATAAACGCACGCAAACATCCATGCCTTGAGTGGAATTCGAACGCAAGATTCCAGCGTTCGAGCGAGCGAGGACTGTTCATGCCTCAGACCCCGCGGCCACTATAGTCGGTATTTTCGAGTAATAGAACCCGAAATTTCGACACTATTAATATCAATGTTATGTCAGATTTCAACACCGAACAGGATTCTGAAGCAGTACAACACATTTCACATCAATATTAATATTATTCTTCCGTCTCTTTCTCGGTTTTGCGTGCAAGAGACGGCTTTCCAAGAGATTTCCCATAAAAATTCAGTATGCATTTGTTTGCCGTATCCGAGTCTGCCATTACTTTAATCTGACCAGACTAACGGTATAAATTAACAGTTCCCTCCTTATGTCGCTTCTCTTGGGTCCAAGCAGTTTTCCTGAACACTGCTTTTAGATTACATCCCATTAAAATTAATTGAAAATTAAACATTCAACCATTTCTTGGTTCAGAAACATGAGTGAAGGACACTTTATAAGCCATTCGTCAACTTATGACAAGCAATAATGGGAAATAGATAAACATAAATCGCGGTTCATACGTTACATGACTGGTTATCCTCTGCTAGGTAAATGACGAAAAGTCAACGAATTGAATCATTCAACACGTGACGGAACATAAAAACATAGCAGATCTTACATAATCTTAGCAATTTCTGTTGAAGATATGCAGAGCTGTGGCTACAGCCAATAGAACAGAGGCCGCGGTGGGAAATCCAACGTATGTACGTGTAAGATTTGAGGCTTTCACGGCGGTGACTATGAAGAAAGCAGTCTTCTGAGGTTAACACCACATATACACGGTGCCAAATCCCAGAAGACTGCTTTCTTTATGTACGTGTATGTTTTACTGTGTTTGCACTGTTCAATGTAGCGGCTGCAGCGGCCTTGCAAGGGATGATCTGCAGTCCTACATACTGTCCCTAGGATTGATATGCTCGTAGTTTTCGGATAAATTCTGAAATTGGAACAGTCCAGAGGGCCTAATCCGTCAAAGGACGAGGACGAAGTATTGCGTATGGTCCAGGTCCACGTCTTAAAATAAACAGAGTGATTTTTAGAGTACGGATTACAAATGTAAAGAGTGAGGGAAGTCAGAGAAGTGTCGTTTAAGAAATGTTGATATATCAACCATCTGACTACTTAAGTTTTCCTTACGCCGTATTCCTCGATCAAGTGCTCTAATGAACTATATGTAAAACACATTAACAAACTAAGAAAATGTACACATACAGCAGTATTCTAGCACATCATACCACTGTTATATAATTATTTTGAAAATAGAAAGATTTGAGTATAAAGTTTTTTTTTTATTTTTATCTACTACGATGTTTTTCCTCAACATTTTTTTTTCGGAATTGCGTCCGAAATACGAACAGAAATGCATTTAGGTCATCATTTAAAGTGTCCGTCATTGTTGTCAAGTTTTAACTAAAATTTAAATGTGTGGTAAAAGAAGGAAAGTTGTCCTTGTACTTAACTAATTAAGCGCTACGCCATGAAGGAGTATGGGGTAGTGAATATATAGGTCCACATTCTTTGGGCCTAGGCACTAGTTGGAGGTTAGTGGTCAGGTTCACGACCCTGCCACTTCACCCCAGGGGAAAGAGCTCCCGGTAGCCATTGGACAAGAAACTGGGTGGGCCCCAGAACAGGTCTGGACTTCGTGTAGAAGAGAAAATTCTTGACCCTACCGGAATTCGAACTGCGACCCCTCGGTCATCCAGCTTGTAGGCTGTCGCTATACCAACTACGCTATCCTCGCTCCATTTAAATGTGCGGGCAAATTTTAATAAAACTTCAGGAATAGTTTTGTTTCGAATGTTCATAAAATGTTGTAAATCATCGCTAATGGGAGGAAAAGAATTTTGAAAATCGCACAGTACACACATGAATTTTCCACTGCATGCCCGAAGCCAATTCGTCAACCGAAATAAGCTGTGTGCATACAAACCGAAAGAGTATACGGGTTCAAACCTGTAAATGTTTGGGGCGACATAAGTCAACTTGTCTTGCAGTTGCATTTTTTTTTTTTTGTATTTAATAATAATTCTGCCCGGTCCGTATAGTTATATTAGAAATGTCTAGGTACAACACAGAATAACAAATTCATATGCAGGTATGCGGAGCCAACAAATTATTCACATTATATACCACTATATTAAACGAAATTAAAACCATACAAAAATATGATACATTGTAATTAATCAATAACAATTAAAACAACACATTCAATATCAAAGAAAAAAAATTATTTTATGAAATTTATTTGTTCAGCTCCTGTAGTCCAACTCTATCTTTTGTATTCGCAATTATGCACGGTTTATTCAATTATGCGAAGGCTATTCATAAAGTAACATCCGTTTACTTTAGGCAGATAATGTAGGAGCTGGGGGGAGCTCGGGCATGCGAGGTAGCGTCACATGACTCATTGCTTTGTAAACCATCACATAACTGGTCACCTAGTATTTGTTCTTGTCCCTACAGAGTGAGTTATATGTCCTGCGACTGATAATCCCTCCAACCGCGAAATTCGCGCTGTTATCCGCTTTCTTCGCGCTAAAAATATGAATGTTGCGGAAATGCGTCATGAATTATGCACGGCGATTTACGGCCACAATATGATGAATGAAGGAACTGTTGTAAGACAGTGGTGTAGAATGTTCAAAGATGGGCGGGCGAACATTTGTTCACGATGAAGAGCGAAGCGAGAGGCCATCTGTAGTGAGTGTAGTTTTTGAAAGTGTTGACCAAAATATTTGTGAAAGACGGCGTTTCACAATTTTAGAACTTTGGTGTGAATTTCCACAAATTTCACGGGTTCTTGTCTACGAGATTATCGCAGTTACGCCAGGCTATGACAAGCTTTGCGCAAGATGGATTCCGAAAATACTCACGGGTACACACAAAACGCAGAGAATGGCTTCGGCTATGACTCTTTCAGAGCGATACCACAAAGATGATGATGAATTTCTCAGTCACATTGCACGAGTAACAGTTGACGAAACCTGGGTGTCAGTCATATTAGTGGATAAACAGATATCTACCAAACAAGCCGGAGTGGAATGCTGACATCCGGCTGGAGAATTCTAACTCGAAATTGTTTAACCGCCATACTTACAGCCCTGATCTCGTTCCGAGCGACTACTACCTGTTTAGTTGTACCTACCTGAAGAAATGGATGGGATCACAGCGCTTCAACAATAATGAGTTGATGGAAGGTGTCAAAACGTGACTGAGCTCACAGGCGGCAGACTTCTTTGAGACAGGTGTACAAAAACTTACTCCCCGACACGACAAGTGTCTCATTTCCGGAGGTGACTATGTTGAGAAGTAGCTTAAGTACGTATATGTACATATTTTTTGTATATAGTAATTTTTTCTTGTTGCTTGTTTTGTTAACATCTCACCGAATGTTACTTCCGAATAGCCCTCATATCTAACCCAGACTGGATAAGAGGATACAGGCTTACATTTCGGTTATTTAACACAACAAAAGGCCATACAGTAAGAATAAAGAGTTTGGAAACCGCATTATAAACTTTCTCCACATTCGATGTAATTTGTTAGCACTACGTTAACGGGCGCAATTATATATTTTGTTGACAGGCACCTCCAGGTACGATTCCCAGCAAAATCACACTGTATTGGTTAGCACATTTGTTCCGTAAAGAAGAGAAGGTGGGTTTTATTTCACCGTCTATTCTGGTGGAGGTGTTTCGTGGTTTTCCCTAGCCCCAGCAGCAAAATTTTGATATACTGTATAGATCTGTATGTATAGCCTCTTTCAAGAAAGATACAAATCTGAACACTCTTCATTATAACATGTTAAAATTCGAATTAATGACTGTCTTACCTTATGTCATGTTCAGTCTTTTCTTTTTTGGATTCAGACTCTTTTACTTTTTCGTAGAATTGACGCCACATATCTTCCTCCATGTTGAAATCGACTGCGGACTTTACAACAAGAAAATAGGGCGGTTTGCACCCGGATCAATCACACGACTAAGGGAGCTTGGAAACATCGAACTGCACTTGCGCTCCGACTATGACATCCACAGCACTTCCGTTCGCATTTATACTTATTTCACTTTCGTCTGTGTCTGATACACTGACTGATCTTTCTGCGATAATTCACCTAAGAAATTATTCACAATGACAACTGAACACAGCACACGAGATCTCGCAGTCTGGTTTATTATTAGATGCTGACAACCATCTATCGTGGATGTCTGGACCAAGTACATGGAGTTTGAACTGCTTGCATAGCAACTTTACGCGCTCGATGACTGTACTGCTCGTACCGTCACGTACAAGGACGAAATGCTTCTACTCCTATTCTAACGTCCCCTCCCCCTTAACTCCCACACTGTAAACCGGGAACTAACCATTTTATATGCAGGACATAAATGAAATGCAGGCTATACGTCACAGGATTTATATTACCACAATAAAAAAAAATGCTAATAAGCAAGATGTTTTCATTCAAAAAGGTATTATTTTTCAACCGTTTATTTTGTTAACTGTTCGCATACGTTATATACAAGTTGGGGTTTGCACGTTGTAAACCTCTCCAAAATGTCTTGGATGATACGAAGGAGGAGTTCAGGTTCTAGAAAGAACCTCATGGAGGTTCATGGATGGAGTGGAACTCTTCCTTCCACCGTTTGTTTATGAGGGATAAAAGTTAAATTTCGGAGAAGTTCATGGAGTCCACTGGGGCTGTAATGCCAAGGAAAAAAAAGGTTAAATTTGTTCCTGTGCTTAATTAATTAAGCATCACACCATGATGACCTACGGGAGAGTGGAGGTATATCTCCACCATTCTTGACCTTGACACTAGATGGAGGTAAGTGATCAGCTTCACGACCCAGCCGCTTTATCCCCAGGGAAAGAGCCCCCCGGTACCCGTTGGACAGGAGGCTGGGTTGGTCCCAGAGGCGGTTTCGACGCTGTGGATTAGATAAAAATCTCTTTGTCTTGCCTGGGATAGAACCCCGGTCGATCGGCCAGTCTCTATACCGGCTGAGCTGTTCCAGGTCTCTTGTTTTTAAGGTGAGGTATAGTGACAGGAACAAGAAGTACCTCAACAGAACTATTAATCTCTGCGTCTATATGAGAAAATGTAATATTGTGGATAAATTTTTCAAGGTCCTAAATCAAATCCCAGGCACAACACTGATACTGGGGTAATGACCTTCCGGCTTGGAGCATAGTTCCTCAACCAACTACGCTACCGCTTGCCCCTAAGTGTGGGGTATATAAATATAAACAGATTATCAAACCTAGAACAAGGAATGATTAACCTGACCGTATTTATCCACTTATGTTATTATTATACTTGTTCAGTTGTTTGACAGGAGTAAATTAATTGTTCTTTGCTGTCTGCTGAATTACTATAATTATAAATAAATAATCTGAATGCTTTCAATGTTATTAAATATAACTTTCTTCGACAACGAAGCCGAATATTTCAAAATATTTTATAGTTATGCGCTGTACTAGAAGCATTCTAGTTAGTTGCTCAAGCTGGTCTGGTCAAGTGGGATTTGTGGTGGGCAAAGTGGCGCTGGGGCAGGTTTTCTCCGAGTACTTCGGTTTCCCCTGCCAATCTTCATTCCACCAATTGCTCCACAATCACCCTCACCTATCATCTGGGGCTGGTACAATAGACCAGAAGTGGCCGCAATACAAGGGACTTAGTCCCACCCCAATAACAATAAAGAAGTCGATTTGGTCCATTTCTGATCAGACAGCCTGGGGCTGTCTTCAGGAAAATAGAAGGAAATAGCTATAGCTAAGTTTAGCATCAGCTAACTGTACTGTAACATGTAGGCCTATGACGCATGAAATTCCATTAAGGCCTACACGCAAACTCTTACTTACCAACGGAGCTGAGCCCTTCTTGAGGAGCCGCCAATTCTGCAGCTACTCAAGAACTTCCCAGCATTTTATGGAACCCGAAGGTTCATTACCGTGTTCACAAGAGTCCTCCAATGGTCCTTATCCTGAGCCAGATCAAACCAATACATATCATCCCATCCTATTTCTCTAAGATCCATTCTAATATTGTTCACCCACCTACGCGTTAGCAATAATAAAAAAAAAAATCTAGAGTTTAATTTGGGTATGGGAGGTTATCAAAATGTAATGTAGATTAAGTTTTGTAGTTAGGGAGATGCATAAATGAACTGCCTTTTATAGAATCCGAAGGATCCGCCACTGGGTCCTATCCTGAGCCAGATGAATCTAGACCACACCCAATTTCCTTCAGCCCCAATTCTTTAGGCTTACATCTCTCAAGTGGTCTCACTTTCGTCACTTCCGTAAATACATTTTTTCGGAAATGCTTCTTCTTGGCGTTATCGTAGACCTATCAGACGCGTATTTTAAGCTCTTAAAGCCACATCGAAGCATCATCTTTTTCTATAAAAATCTGCAAATTTTAATGGAATAGCTGCATCATATGTAACACGAAAATCAAGACGCTACTACAATGAACACAGTATTGCAAGTATGAAACTAAATGTCATGACTTCTATCCTTCTACACAATGCAAAACCGACTCTATATTTACGAACTTTCTGGAAAGTCACAAAGGCATCTATCTATCTATGGCTCTACAGCCCTTGATGATCTTGGCCGCTTTTTCACTTTCTTAATCCATACACACAGAACAATGCAAACGCAGGATAAACGCACACAGACATCCACGCCTCGAGTGGGTTTCGAACCCACGATCCCAGTGTTGGAGCTGAAAAAGACGCTTCATGCCATGGACTTTCTTTTTTCTTTTGCGCCACAGCCCCAATTTGGGCATTGGCCTACCTCCATGAAACTATTCGTTTCACTTCGGTTTACTACATTTTAGACATTCGGTAGGACTCCTTGGGCGGATGATCAGCTCGTCGCAAAGTCTCCACCTGTCCACAAACACAGAAAAACGCGCCGGCGCACACACACACACACACTAAACATTCAAGCCCTGAGTGGGATTCGAACCCACGATCCCGGCTTCCGAACGAACGAAGACAGTTCATGCCTTAGACCGCTCGGCTACCGTGTCCGGCATGAGTAAGAGCTGATGTGATTTAAATCAGATTTCTTACAACTGCATGCACTGAGTCGGTATAAAGTACTGCATTAATATTCGTGGGAGGTCCTGTATGACATGATCGCCCGCTCAAAATTGTCATTGTTTCTCCGTGACGTCACAGCGGAAGAGAATTCTCCTTTGCTCAAGGTCACTCAACAACGGTTGAGACACTGCAACTTTCACATTACCTAAATTGTTGCTTTTATTGTGTGGAGCTGGCTGTGTCTTATTTACTTGCTCAGGATCGAGACGTGCTATAACGGAACCCCAAACGCCTAATCGTTACCGTGATAGCTCCCATTGGGTTCCCCGCGCCAAGACAGTTCAATTCGCAACAAATTGTTCTAAACTAGGCTTATTTCTTCGCGATCAGTTTTAACTTTATCTTCCAGCTTAAAAGTTTCCAAAATTGCATCTTCCCATAAAGTTTTCCACTCAAAGAAGGATAAAAGTAAAATCGCTGTTTAAGTCTGCACCACGCCACGAAGACGTATGACGCAGAGGGAAGAAATGTACTGGTTTCAAGCAGCCGTAACAATGGGGCTAAATGGAGGTGAGTGGTCAGCTTCACTCTCCGACTGCTTTGAATGGAAGGCTGGATCCTTGACCTGCCGAGAGTCGAACACCGGTCATCCAGCCCATAGTTCCTCACGAGACCATACTGATAGCTATTTTGGCTCATTCCAGTCAAACATCTGTATTAATTTCTTGATTTCACTGTACGTGCTACATGCCATATCAATTTCCCCTTTATTTAGTTCCATTATTAGAAGGGCCCAGCCGGTCACAGTAGCCGAGCGGTCTACGCATGAACTGTCTTCCCTCGCTCGGAAGCCGGGATCGTGGGTTCGAATCCCACATAAGGCATGGATGTTTGGTGTTTATTCTGTGTTTGCGTTGTTTTGTGTTTAGGTAGAGACCTTGCGACGAGCTAATCACTCGTCCAAGGAGTCCTACCATCTGTAAAATGATCATGAAACTGAAATATCAGAGGCCAGGGCCCAAGGGGGGGGGGGCTTAGAGTCAGTTAAAAAAGCTAGAATGGCCCAGTTCTTTCCTGGCCGTTAAGAAACGCGCATGTATTGCAAGCTACATTGCGAAATCAATGCGTACATCGGAGGGGCTACTTTGTTCTATCCGACCAATGTGGAACCAAGGACACGAAGGTAACGTCACTTCCCGACTAGCGAACCGTAAAGTTGTTGCTGAGATTCATTACAGCCTGTCCGAAAGCTACACCCACATACGTAGTTGTAAGGCCTTGACCATTGTCTGAAATGTTCTCAGGCTCTTATTGTTTCCAAACTACGGGCCGGTGAAAGGACAACTGTGACCGCACATTTCAGTGGTTCCAGGAGCATTTCAGTACCTTAAATGTTGTTGATATTTTGGTCCATTACGTTCGAGTGGATGATCGAAGGTTCGGTTCCCAGAAATGTCGCAAGAATATCTGTGGGGGCTAATTTTATTCTGCCAGCAATAACCCATTGAAAGAGGATTATGAAATATTACACTGTCGGCAGAAAGCAGAACGAAACTCTGTAGCATTACAGCAAGGCCTGTGGTTTAGTGGTCAGTGTTCCTGGCTACAGATCCAGAGGTCTGGGTTCGATTCCCGACGCTACAAGAATTTTTTCGGAGAAATAGTTGATCTGGAACTTGGTCCACTCAGCCTCGTGAGGATAACTGAGGAGCTATTTCAATGAATTAGCGGCTACGGTCTAGAAAATCGAAATTAATGGCCGTGGGGATTCGTTGCACTGACCGCACGACACACTCTATTCACAAAAGTTGGCACTAAACTTCGCCGACAAGCGGCGGTCGCTCCGTCGGTATGGCTCGCTTTAGCATACACCAGTGTGACGTCATACACAAACAATCATGAGTAAGAAATTAAAATAAAGCAAAGTTGCCTATTAATCTAAATTATCAAGAAATGTGGATTTGTTGGTCCGAATAATATATCCCGGATTAGTTAGTGCGTTGATTTTCTTTGGCGGACCACCCGAATATTAAACCAATTATTTTTAGTATTTCGAATGGAGTGAAAGTTACATTTATTCAACAGTTACAACCCGAAGACTTTTAAAATGAAAAATATTTTTTAAAAAAAATGCCATACAAATCACATGTTTATTTGTGCATAAATAGAATTTTTTGACCTTGAAGATGGGGGCGTACCAATTGAAATTCTGTGAAGGTCACAGGTTTTGGACCA